AAAAAAAAAAAAAAAAAAAAAAAGGTATTTCTGGCTCATAGAATTTCTTGCATTTTCCAGACCAAGTATCACCAAAGTATTTGCAAAGTATTCCACTCCCCCACTCCCATCACTGGGGCATTTGGGGTTCAGTTCCATATCATCACAGAAAGGTTTTTGGGCTCACATGCCTCTTTTGCTGTTTCCATTAAGTTGGTCATTTGTGTTTTTTATGTTATTATGGAAATCCTTAATATACTCTGATACTGATTCTTTTATGCAGTTATCTATACATGAATATATATATATACACATATATACACCCATTTTTGAACTATTTGAGAATTAGTTGTAGATATTAACACTTCACTTATAAATATTTCACCATGAATCTCCTAAGAACTGCATTTCCCTACATAATAACAAATTTCCCACCCTCACAAAATTAACACATAATAAACACTATTATCTAATACAAATACAGTTTATAATAATTGTTCATATTTCCTAATTCCAGGGGCCAATCAAAGTTTACAGGGTGGATTGAGGTTATGTCTCTGAATTCTTCAGTCTAGAATAGTTCCTTCGTGTTTTGTGGGGTTTTTTCCTTCTGTGATATTAATATTTTTTCAATGAGTAGAACAGTTGGTTTGCAGAATGTTTCTCCTTCGATTTGTATTTATCTGACAATTTTCTTATCGATAGATTTAAGCTACACATTGACGAGGTACCGTATATTTTCTGTGCCTTATAAATGTGTTGTATTTAAGATTTCTGTAATAAATGGTACCTTTAAAAAAATTAACATTTTCTAGCTATTATTGCTAGAGATTACTTATTAATATTATTTCCAGCCGTTCTTTTTTTATATGTTAAAATCTTTCATGTTGTTCAAAACTTAAAAGACACGTAATGATATATAGTGTGAAGTCTGTTAGAGGATCTAAACCCTGACCCTAGGTGGCTCCAATAGAACCAATTTCTTACATTTTCAGAGGCAACCAATAGAACTAATTTCTTACATTTTCTCCCAGAACTATTTTACATGCATACAAGTATCATATATACATAAAATTATATATATGATATGTTATCATTAAATAAATTACAGGGCTAGTAACAGAAATAAAAGTTTGAGGGAGGGCCTATGGGCCTATTGTAAAGAAGTCTGGTTTTATAATCTGACGTTTGCAATAACTTTCCAAATGCTCTGGAAAAAGCAAATTATTTAATGGACAATTTCGAAACGCATGATAGTCACTTACATTCAATAAACTTTGCTACAACAATTCCATGTGCATAGAAAAAGGGAAATCAAGCTCTTTAAAAAACAGCAGCTAGCTTGGCCCCTGTAGCTCAGCGGCTAGGGCACCAGCCACATACATTGGAGCTGGAGGGTTTGAACCCAGCCCGGGGCTGCCAAACAACAATGACAACAACAAAAATAGCCAGGCACTGTGATGGGTGCCTATAGTCCCAGCTACTTAGGAGGCTGAGGCAAGAGACTCGCTTAAGCCCAAGAGTTTGAGGTTGCTGTGAACTGTGACACCACAGCACTCTACCAAGGGCGACATAGTGAGACTCTATCTCAAAAACAAAAACAAAATAAAAACAAAATCCCCAGCAGCTGACACAGTGCTTCCTCCTGAAGCCTCTTCACTATTCTTTCAGCGCGTACAGCACATCATCCTGGTTGACGTTCAGCCGTATGCGAAGAAGCAGGTCGTTCCTGCTGGGCTCCACCAGCAGGAGGCGGCAGGAGCCCAGCTGAGAACACACAGCCATGCTCTCTGACATGGTAGGATACGGCAGCCCCTCCATTCTGCAAAGTGTCACATGCTGACTGTATATCTAGACACAAGGAAACAAAGTCCACGTTAAGAGGAAAGGCAGTCTTGAGGCTGTATCCAATCATTTATCTCTTCTTTTAAGAAAATGAGACACATGGTACTCAGGATACCAAATATCCCAGAGCATCTTTTATCTCTTCTTTTAAGAAAATGAGACACATGGTACTCAGGATACCAAATATCCCAGAGCACATCAATGGCTGCCCCAATAAAGTCACTGTTATACAAACAGTCCTGGTCTCCAGGGGCTGGGAGTTTCATAATTGCGATGTCAAAATTAAAGTCAAATTTTCCTAAACAACACTTCCTGATCAGTTAGAGTGAAAAGATGCCAAGGCAATGATCTTGGAAAAGTGTAAAGGCCTTTTATAAAGAAATAAAGGGAGGCAGGTGTACAGCTGGAAACAAATTCCTCCCTGAAGCTGAGTCAGGCAAGTCTGCAGCCGTTCTGCTAGCTCTCCATTCTACATCTTCACAAGTCTACCCCTCCGACCCCCCACCAACCCCACCAAGACTGGGAGTGTGTCAGGACGAGGGATGTTAACTAATTCAGCTCAGGAATCGCGGCAGCTGTCAGTGAACGGTACACTACAGATGTTCGGGAACTGTTCACAAACTACAGTGAAAGCTGCTCTCTGCAGAAGAGCTGTCCTGGGCTCTAGAACTGGAATGGGCAAAATGGAGAACAATTAAATGTTTATGAAAGAATGTATAACCAGCCCATAAAGAAGACGCTGAAAAGAAGATGTTCTTCTGACCTGTGTTAGTTAAAGATATCTAAAATGTACACAAATACAAACAATATACACTCAGGTACACACTCATGAACACCTTTAACAATTCTTCTTCAGCCTGGGAACGTGAGACTCAAGCAAACTACAACGGCACAAGCCCTACTGATTCCTCTTATTTGATTTACTTAAAATTAAACAGTGCTAAGACTGGGCTGTGATCGATCTTTGAACATGGCCTTGCCCCATTACAATGTAAGCTGTATTAGAGCAGTAATTATCTTGTTCATCTTAATCCATGAACGGTGTCTGGCACATAGTAGGCCCTCAAACTAACATGCAGAAACCAACTGCCAAAGTTCTGTTCTTATCCAACTCAATAAAATATCACATAAAAATAGGTGCTGGTCTGATATCCTTTCACAGAGTCAGGGTGGCACAAGACAGAGACAAACTTATACACTGATTGAAATTTTCATATATATTAAAAGCCACAGATCAGGCTCAGCGCCTATAGCTCAAGTAGCTAGGGCGCCAGCCACATACACCAGAGCTGGCAGGTTCAAATCCAGCCTGGGCCTGCCAAATGATAACAACTACAACCAAAAAATAGCCGGGTGTTGTGGTGGGTGCCTATAGTCCCAGCTACTTGGGAGGCTGAGGCAAGAGAATTGCTTAAGCCCAGGAGTTGGAGGTTGCTGTGACCTGTGACCGTACAGCATTCTACCCAGGGTGACAGCTTCAGGCTGTGTCTCCAAAAAAAAAAAAGCCACAGATCAAAACCTAGGATTTGAAAAAAGATCACCTGATGAAATGTTGCTTCCTCCAGTCCTGACTGACGGAACTCTGCAAGGATGGCTCTCAGGAAGCTCTGTTCCAGCATGGAGCAGTTTCTTAAAGGAAATGAGGAGATGTGAGTTCTTGTAACTGGATGGGCCACCGGCCCAAAGGAAAGCCAAACAAAACTTTTCTGTGTCTTTAGAGGAGAGAGAAAAAACTGGGAAATACTTTCTTCTATGTTACACGGCAAGATTTCCAATTCACGCCAATGTCTCAAACTAATACAGAAAACGCTACTTTGGAAGTAAGAGGGAACATGGCAACCACATCTAGAAATACACTGGTGTCTAAGAAACACCCACAGCCCATGTCATGAACTGAGCATACAGTGAGCGAGAACTACCTGCTCCCTTCTTGTTCCCATAGCACATTTGCTCCCTAAATGCCTGTATGCAGCAAGGCTGGATAAATGGCAAGTGTGCTCCTGTCACCCCAGGTTTGTTTCTGTCTCCTTAACTAGACTATACCCCCTAAAAAAGAACTGTATCATTAGTAAATAAATGCAGATTGAATGAGTAATCGCTTAGGAAGAGAAACACGTTTCCGTGGCCTTCTTCAGCTAGAGAGCAGCTTACTTGATAGCAGTGATGTATGATGATGAAAACATCTCATCCAGAGCTTCCATTAGGTGGGCTATTGTGACCAGGCGGGGGGCATCAGGCTTCTGGTGGGAGAGCTCACAGATCTCCGTGGCACGCCTGCAGATGTCCAGGCAGCGTCGTGCGTCTCCAGAGAGGGCTGCTACCTACAAGAGGGAATATTTTATTCCTGAGGCCATCTTAGCCCAAAAGTTCCGATAGATCCTGTGTTTAACTAAAAAGGGTGGTGGTGGACTTAAGTCTAAATGTAAGTACTAACCCCTGGCAGAGATCTGCCTCAAGGAAGCATGGGGATGATTATATCATTGCTCATGGGACTCTAATCCCCAAATCTGAACCACTGTTTTATTAGATGAATCAGACCAACCCTCAAGGCTGATGGCTCTGCTGGTGCTTCTCCTGCCTTTCCAAGTGCTCACAGGCTGAAGGGCTTCCAGGCCCCTTCTCAGGGAATCTTCTACACTGTTCCAAGCTGACTTAGAAGGCCACTTGCATTTCATTTTATCTTATTTAATTTTGAGACAGAGTTTCACTCTGTCACCCTGGGTAGAGTGCTGTGGTATCATAGCTCACAGCAACCTCAAACTCCTGGGTTTAAGTGATCCTCTTAACTCAGCCACCCAAGTAGCTAGGACTAGAGGAGCCTGCCACAACACCCAGTTAGTTTTTCTATTTTCAATAGAGATGGAGTCTTACTCTGGCTCAGGCTGGTATCAAGCTCCTGAGCTCGGGCAATCTACCTGATTTGGCCTACCAGAGTACTAGGATAACAGGTGTGGCCACCACACCCGGCCACCACTTACATTTTAAGTCTCAAAAAAGGAATTCTTAGACACTGCAACCTGCAAGGATCTCAATATCTGAGTTCCCAATACTTACCAATAATCTCTAGCATTCGCCTGACTACCATCATATTGTCTGACAACATCCCCAAAATGATCACATCCTTCTGAAATGCATGGTACACAACACACCAAGACATTAAAAGTAGTCACCTCTGGGAAGTGGGATTACAGGCGATTTAAAATGTTTTGTGTATTATTTCCGTTTCTTGAATTCAAATTTACAATATTTAAAACAAAAAATCACTTTTAAGTAACCCAAAACAGTCATCAGCGTATATTCATCCCTTGCTCTACCCACCCACGTTGACCGGGTAAAGATGCTCCATACACCTGCCTCATCCCTTCTCTTCCCTCCTATACCTGCCCCACATCCTGGTGAAGCAGCACCCACTAGTGGTGAGTGGGGCTGCTGCAGGGTCCCTAGCCCAAAGTGAAAGGGGAACCCTAAGGAAGCAAGAAAATAGCCAAAACTGTCTTACCCTGAGGGTATCCATGAACCTTGGGGAACCTAAGCATCCTTTCTGAGACAAAAAGAACAAGTCAGAGCCCACCCAACATGGAGTCTAACAGATGACTTCCTCTATGCTACCAGGGTGAATGAAACCCATCCCACAGAAAGGATGGCAAGAAAAATTGCCAGTTTTTGGCCGGGCATGGTGGTTCCCGCCTGTAATCCTAGCACTCTGGGAGGCCGAGGCCAGTGGATTGCTGGCGCTCACAAGTTTGAGACCAACCTGAGCAAAAGTGAGACCCCGTCTCTACTAAAAAACAGAAAATCTGAGGCTTAAGCCCAACTATGAGCTATGACGCCACAGCACTCTACCCAAGGAGACAGCTTGAGACTTTTGTCTTAAAAACAAAGGAAAAAAACAAAAAACCAAGACCCTAAAAAGAAGAGAAGCAACAGGAAAGGAGTAAACAACGTAATTCTGCAAAGGAGAAGAGGGAGAAGAACAGTGGTTGACGCAGCAGACTGGAAAAAGCCAGACCCTAACCTCAGCAGCCAGTGGTGAGGAGTCCAAGGACACTAAAAATTTCAGACTGTTCAGGAGTTAGTGACGCTGGAATGGACGTAAGAGGGGGATTTTGGGCTAACATAAGGAAGATTAAGGTCAAAAGTTAAGGGAAGTTGACAAAGTTAAGAAACTAACTCTAAGATGTCCTAGATGAGGAATCAACAAACTACGGTCCACAGACCATTTTTATAAATAAAGTTTTCTCAGAACACACCTATGCTCATTCATTTACATATTGTCTAGCGCTGCTTTTGAGATGTAAAGGCAAAGTACTACCTGGCCCTCCACAGAAAAAGTTTGCTGATCCTTGTCTTAAATCCTTCCCCCATTTCACGCTGTTGGGTGAACAACAGGCCCTCCCTTCAGGGGGTTCTCTGAGAAAATTGTAGGCCTTGCTATTTGGACTATTCCCATAAAACTCTCTGTCCTGGAGATTATCCCTCTCCTACTAAGGCAGAAGATCAGTGATTCATTCTTAAACTAGGATAAACAAAGACTCTCTGTACTTATAGACATTAGGTCAGTATATATGAAATGTCTGAGTTCAGACTGAAGGCTTGATTTATTATATCTCAAACAAGTCGTAGTACAATTATTCAAAGCACGTGCCTAAGCTATTAACACACTTTTGCTGTCTTAATGGTAGCTTGCATATGCCAGCAGCAAAGAAGCCTGGAGAGTGAGTGGTAATGAAATTGCAAAAGTATTTCCCACAGCTTGTTGAGAATTGAATATTTTTCCTTGCAAGAAAGGGGCCAAAGCCCAGAAGAAGTGTAGTGACGTGGTGCAAGGTCTGGCGAATACAGCGGATGACAGAGAATTTTCAAGTCCAGCTCCTGTAGTCTGCACAGTGTTGTTTGTGCGACGTGTGGAAGAGAGTTTATTATCTTGGAAGAGGACCTGCCTGTCTCTACTGACCAGTCTCAGATGCTTCATCACAAGCATCCTCATCATTTCATCCGATTGGATGCAGTGGACATCCACTGTAATCAACTGATCATGCTTCATGAGGCTGTAGTGGATGATACCAGTGCTGGACAATCAAACAGACACTATTAGCTTTTTCTATGAATTTTCAGTTTTGGACTGTTTCAGCACTTCATCTTTATCCAACCATTGTGCCAAATGCTTGCAATTGTCAAAAAGAATCCTTTTTTTTTTTTTTTGAGACAGAGCCTCAAGCTGTCCCCTGGGTAGTGCCGTGGCATCACAGCTCATAGCAACCTCCAACTCCTGGGCTCAAGCGAGTCTCCTGCCTCAGCCTCTCAAGTAGCTGGGACCACAGGCGCCTGCCACAATGCCTAGATATTTTTTCTTTTGGTTGCAGCCGTCATTGTTGTCTGGCGGGCCCGGGCTGGATTTGAACCCACCACCTTAGGTGTATGTGGCTGGCGCCTTAGCCACTTGAGCCACAGGCACCGAACCAAGAATCTATTTTTCATCACACATAACAATACAGTATAGAAATGGTTTGCCTCTATGTTTGGACAGTAAAGAAAGGCAAGCTTTGAGGCAATTTCCCTTCCGATGGTAACTTAATTCACAGGGAACCCATTTATCCAATTTCTTTACCTTGCTGATTTGTTTAAATGGTCCAATATTGTTTTGACTAGAAATATGGTTTGACTAGAAACATCAAACCTTGTTAATTCTCATGCAGGTTGAGATGGATTCATTTCCACTACAGTTTTCAATGTTGGTCTCAGGTTGCCCATGTGGCTCATTTTCCAGACTAAAATCACCAGAATGGAACTTTTCAAACCATCAATGTACCATTTGTTCATTAGCTACATCCTTCCCAAACACTCCTTGATATTTCAAGCTGTCTGCGTTGCATTGGTTCCACAATGGAACTTGTATTCAAAAACAACATGAAGTTTTGACTTATCCATGGTTTCACAAAAATTGCTCTAAAAAATTTTTAAGGATAATCACGGGCCAAAATATGCATTTGAAACAGTAAGGATGTGCTGTTAATAAAATAAAACAAGACCCTGATGAAGACAGACAAATGGCTAACAAACATTTAAAAAAATGTTCATCATTACTGATCATCAAAAAATGCAACTCAAAACCATGCTGAGATAACACTCATAGACAGTGACAATAGCCCACGTCACAAAGTCTCAAAGCTGCAGATGCTGGCGTGCTTGTGGAGAGAAGGGAACTTTACACTGTTTGTGGGACTGTAAACTAATACAATCTCTTTGGAAATAAGTATGGAGAATCCTCAAAGAACTAAAATTCAACCTCCCATTTGATCCTGCAATCCCATTACCAGGCATCTACCCAGAAGGAAAAAATTCATTTTATCATGAGGACATCTGCACTAGACTATCACAGCTGAATTTATAATCGCCAAAATGTGGAAACAATCTTAATGCCCACCAAAACAGACATTTCTTACTTAATAACCTAGTATCACTGGAGGTAAGGAGGTGAGCACCCACAATGGCCTCAAACCTAGCAAGTACTTAGCAAAGACTTGCTGACTGGTTTGTGGGTGGTGCTAGGAGTTCCCTGAAGATGACTTACCTTCCTGGCTACCAACTGGATGGCATCATCCTCAAAGGCCTTTAAATGTTTGAGCCGGGACACCAGGATCTGCTGCAGCTGGCTGTGAGTATAGGGCTGGAAGGACATCCTGGTAAGACCCTGGGGAGCGAGAATGACAGAGGAGCAAGACCACTGAGTGCCCAGCAGTTATCTAGGTGGAAACTCACCCTTTGAGCCCTCAGACCTGCTTCCCCAGTCCCATAAAATGATTTACACATTTCATCGCAAGACTACCACTGTTTTCAGCTATTGTCATCACTGACAACGACCAGTGGTATCCTCTAAGGCAGTGGTTCCCAAACTATGTTTTATTTCATTTACAAAACTTTCATTCTATCAGAGTCATTTAGAAATCGATAGAAGCAGGGTGGTCTCATTAAAGTGGGCAGGAGGATATTAGTGTCTATGCCAGGCGTCCTCAAACTTTGGCCCGCGGCCACATGCAGCCCATCTAGGACATTTATCCAGCCTGCCAGGTGTTTTTGCCGCCACTGCCTGTCTTGCTTAGCAGCCGACTCATCCCAGGGCCCGCAATCTGGCCCTCCAACGGTCTGACGGACAGTAAACTGGCCCCCTGTTCACTGCTCTACTCTAAGTACCTGAGGCAGGTTGTACGAGCTTAAAACATTTTTATTATGATGTTTTAAATTTGTGATCGACCATTGACAGTGGTCTCACTGTCACCCAAGCTGGAGTATAGCAATAAGATCATAGCTCACCCAAACTTGTGGGCTCAAGAGATCCTCTCACCTCAGCCTCCCAAATGCTGAGATTACAGGTGTAAGCCATGTGCATTTGTTAAACATTTTAAAAATAATTAAAGGCCAGACACGGTGACTCACATCTGTAATCCTAGCACTGGGAGTCCAAGGCAGGTGGATTGCCTAAGCTCAGAAGTCTGAAACCAGCCAGAGCAAGAGTGAGACCTCATGTCTAAAAAATAGATGGGCATTGTGCCAAGCTCCTGTAGGTCCAGTTACTGAAGAGGCTGAGGCGAGAATCACTTGAGCCCAAGAGTTACTGTGAGCTATGAAGACAGGAGACTCTACCAAGAGTGACAAATGAAGACTCTGTCTCCAAAAAGTAAATAAATAAACCTCCAGGGCTTGGCACAACCAGTTTAAAAGTGCACTGGCAGAGAACACCAAAAAGATACAATGTTTGCAGGAAGTCAGGCATATTTCATTCCAACATAGAAATTATAAGCATTTCAGAAATCACATTTCTTTCTTTCTTTTTTTTTAAAGACAGAGGCTTATTATGTCGCTGTCAGTAGAGTGCCATGGCATCGCAGCTCACAGCAACCTCAAACTCTTGGGCTTAGGCGATTCTCTTACCTCAGCCTCCCAAGTAGCTGGGACTACAGGCACCCGCCACAACACTCGGCTACTTTTTGTCGTAGTTGTCGTTGTTTGGCAGGCCTGGGCTGGGTTCGACCCACCAGCTCTGGTATATGGCCGATGCCCTAGCCACTGAGCTACAGGTGCCAAGCCAGAAATCACATTTCTTAACCTCCCCATTTATTTTGTTCTCTACGTCTTCATTTTTGCAGACTCATTGGCTCAGTTTATAGATCTATTAGAAGAGCTTGAGAACTGCCCTTGAACCTACCAGTCGGCTTGACACCCGGTTCATCATGATTCGCTCTGGCAGGTCCATTGTGTTGGCAATGGTCAGAATCACCAGCCGGGCCTCCTTGTGAGTGGGCCAATCGAAGAGATTGTACATTACATCTTGTTTGTGAGTCCACAGGAGGTCAAGCTTCCAGGGAAAATAAGAGATGCGGAGTCAGAGCATGAGCTGGGGCTCCAGAATGAAGACCTACATCCAGGTCACAGCACCAAGGCAAGGCAATCAACCAGGGATGGCACGGATGAAAACAGAAGGAAGCCGGGACTCTCCCGCTCAAGACTCTTTCTGAACTTCATCACACACCGCCCCACTTCTCTTCCAGCCCTCCATGGGCGACTCACCTCGTCCACAAGCAGCACTGTAGTCTCCTGAGGGGACCCTTGAGTGCGGAATCGCTTTGCCAGGATTTCTGCCGCGTGGTTAGCCGTTGCCTTCTGGCCTGTTAGCTTCTGCATCAAGGGAAAAACAGTTGTGGTCAACAGTAAGGATTTTACTCCCCTGGGCTTAATAGTTAAACCTATACATGGAAGAAGCTATTTAGTCCAGGGAATTCCGTATCCTACATTCTACTTCTACTCTAGTCTTAACCTGCAAAGATACAAAGCACCAAAAGGAGGTAAAGAAAGTGCATTTGAAATGCAACTGAGTCAAAAGCTGGGTCTCGACTATCCCTGCCCTCAAAATCACCATTAGATAATTCTACCTGCTCCGGGACAATAGCCAAGGAATGAAAGAGCAGGGTTCAGACTCTGGCCTGCTGCCGGCCCCGTCTCCTTTGTGGTCACACTGCCAGCCATGAGCCCATGGTTTTTCCCTTGTTGGCAGGTACCCGCTTCCAGCCAGCCACCCCCTATCCAGCCCCTGGGCTTTAGGGTCCTTTAGGGTAAGAATGGCATTTTCTTGCCCTTGCCACCTCTATACGAAGGACTAAACCTGGTATATCATAGACATGTGAGATACACACAAAATTAAGTAAGCTTTTCCCTTTTCATGTGGCATCAAGAAACTGTATTTTTCCAAATAGCCTGAATGGGTTCACTAACCTCCAAGATCTGCACGTAGACTTGGTGGGGCTCTGTGAGCTTCATGCCATTGACCTCAATGAACCGAAATGAAGGAACATTACGTGTTTGGGCTGCCTGCTGCAAGCAACGGATCACCTCATGCACAGTGGCAGTCTTCCCTGTCCCAGGGACACCAGAGATATACATGCACCTAGAGCAAGAAAGGGAAACCTGTGGGCTTGGGCTGTGCCAGCCACCCCACCCTGTCGTCAGTTATGTGGGAACATAAACTGATGGAAGGACCAAGACGCCTGAAATCGGGGGTGGGACCAGCCTCAGGAGCTGGTAAAAGGAGGACCTGTTTATAGAATCATTCATTCCACTAGCAACGCTGTGTACAAACCACCTACCCATCAAGGCCGGTTTCATTTTTTTCCTGAAAGGCAGAATTTCTATTCCTATAGAATTACTTTGACAACAAAAGCTGCTTCAGAAGCTTTCGGCTTGGTCCACAATGACTTTGTCTACGTTGCTGATACTGGGAGATCCCGTCCGATTGAACCGTATGTAACACCTGAGGCGGCTGCCGGCAGAGACCTTCTTCCCCAGCCACCCTGCCTGTCTCAGCATCACTCACCCTCCTGTATGGTCAAGGAGTTTGCTCTCCACAAAGTTGTAGATGTCTTGGAATTCCTGTTCTCGACAGGGTAGAGACTCAGGTACGGCAGAAACATGCAGCCTACAGTTGGTGGTAAACGGGGGAAAGGGGAGACTTTCAATAAATCTGAGTTTATTGAGTAGGGGACTTTCATCTACTCAATAATTAATGGAAAAGACTTGTCTACTGTTTCTACACAAAAACTCAAATGCAAAGGAAAACCTTCCTTCTCCAATCTCTCTAGTTGGCCTCATAATCTCTTTCTCCACCCAAATCATGTGAGTGGACCTCATCCCACAGGAGACTGACTCCACTTGATTTCTGGCAGGATCTAGACACATTCATTTTGAAAAATTTCCAAATGGTTCAAAAGGGCACCATAACCAAGAGGCACTGTCCCAATTAACTACCTGCCATCCCAGAGAAAATGACGGCTGCAGACTAGCGGGTCTTTCCATCCAGGGCTGCCTATCCACATTGGCTCACCCAGATACCACTTGAGAGGTTTCCTTTCTCTCTCTTTTTTTTTTTTTTTTTTTTTTGAGACAGTCTCACTGGGTGGAGTGCCATGGCATCATCATAGCTCACAGCAACCTCAAACTCTTGGGCTCAAGTGATCCTCTTGTGCCACCCTCCCAAGTAGCTAAAACTACAGGTCCCCGCCATGATGCCCAGCTAGTTTTTCTATTTTTTGTAGAGACAGGGGTCTCACTCTTGCTCAGGTTGGTCTTGAACTCCTGACTGAAGTGATCTAATCAGCTTGGCCTCTCAGAGGGCTAGGATTGCAGGTGTGAGCCACCTCGCCTACACAAGAGGTTTCTCTTTTTTCTCTTTTCTAAACGCATGTATTCCTTTTACTCTGTACCTTATTGGGTGTATTAGTGACTGCTAACTACTCCCGTCTCACGCGAGCCCTATCTGAAAGGGGCCCAAGAGCAGCATTACCTCAGCCGGGCCTCCTCCAGCGCGCTGCTGGGCTGCCGGGCAGCCAGCTTTCGGCTGCGAATCTGAGGAGTAGCATGACGTGGTGTTCTAGGCTTGGGCTATACTCAAAAACAGAGAACTTATTACAAAAGGAAAAACAAAGCAAAACACCAGGACACACCAGCAAATGTGATTCATGCTGATCTCATAAAAGGAAGGGGGATGGTAAAGTCCTCTTCGTTCCCTCCCATGTAAAGTCCCACGAGTCCCCCTCTCCTGCCACATGTTACACATAGACTTTGTTCATAGTCCAAAGATGATTTCTTTTTTCTAATGTACCCACAGTATCATAATGGCAATCTGAAGAAAGAATAAAAGTATGGATTGAATATTATTTAAAAGTAAAATATCTTAAAAGACAAATTATTACGAAACCCAATACAGAGTACAAGAGAAGGCATAAACTGGGGCTCGATTCATCAGACCTTTCCGGAGGTTTATTTGGAAGTACGGCCAAGCTTTAGTCCAGGAGCACCACAGTCCGTGACAGAGTACTTGGAGAAACCTCGCACCCCTTCCGTGGGGCCCTTCCCTCCCCCTCCCCTCTGCGTCCTGCCTGCCAGAGGGTGATCATCTCTCTACCTCTACCTCAGGCAGAAAGCACTTAGACCCTATCTGTTTAAAAGGTTTTATACAGTTTAGGAGAAAATGAGAAGGGAATAACAAAGGCTTGCTGAAAAGAGACCAAGAAACTGAGGGACCTAGGACCCATTTTATTCAGCTGATAGTACCCTAACCCTATATCCCTTCTTCTGGGTAAGGACCAGGAAATGCAATCAAACCAGGACAAGAGTGACTTCTTGCATATTTCAGGACCTCCAGGTAAGATGGCTTCTGGTCTGAAAGGCATCTATTCATTGGATTCCCTTCCCTAGAGGTTTTCCTTTGACTTCAACCCAAGCCCAGTCACATCTTCATATAGAGAAATGGACATCAGCTTTACGAAATATCTTCTAATTAAGCATTTCTAAACTATATTCTGAAGAACAAGATGCTACTTCCATTTAACTGTTTAATTCTAAAATTTCTAATATATTTGAACATGAGAAGACCCTTTTTTCTTAATACCTTTTAATGTTCTGCTAAAATTACACAGGAAGCAGAAAAGATGTCCATTCACCTCTTACTCCCATCTTGCTGTTACACAATTTTACCAAATACCCAAGTAGAAATCTCAGTTTCTTTGGTGTATCAGGCGGGACTATAAAGCCAACACTAAGGGGCGGCACCTGGGGATTAAGGAGTAGGGGGCCGGCCTCATATACCAGAGATGGCGGGTTCAAACCCGGCCCCAGCCAAAAACTGCAAAAAAAAAAAAAAACACACTATGGCTTGGCAGTCCTGGACTGAGCACCCACAGAATTCTTAGCATAAACAAAGTACTCGGCCAGTGCTCTTTGTAAGAAATGGAAAGAGGACTCAGTTTACTTCTCTCAGGAAGTCGGGCCCTTGGCCATTTGATTCTGAACCTTAAAAGGAACTTGAACTCAAAACCTACTCTCTACTGGATTCAGTCTGTCCTGCCATTCATTTAGGTCCCTTCCTCATGAATATTCCAAGAGGAAAAGGTTTAACTCTAACAGACCTATGCTCAGAATTCTGCTGTTGCTAATGGAGCGACCTCATTCTCAACTTTTAGGCTGCGAGGGATGCCTCGCTGGAACATAAACCTAAGAAAGAACCTTACGGTTTTCTTCGGCGTCTTGGAGGGGGTCTGTAAGGATGACTTCAGGGAAGAGTGGAGGTTCTTAGATGTACTTCTGGGTGTCCTCCTTGGATGGGGTGGCGTGGAAGCCTCTTCTTCCTCATTGCTCGAGTCTGAAATCTCTGCTGCTGGCAGGAACTCTTCCTCTTCTTTGTCACTTTTATCATTACCTAGAAACCTGAATGGTGGGGACATATGTTCTGATATTGAGCGTTCAACTCTAAATTGGTGTCGCTCTTGTGACCAGGCAATGCAGGTGCTTGATAGAGACACCCTGCCCTGGTGGTATTTATATTATCTCATTTAACCCTGCCATAACTTACATGTTATTACTATTTATGAATGAGGAATTCAAAATTCTTGCCCCACCCCCCCAACTGGTCTTGTTAGGCACAATGATCAGGGGATGCAGGAGCCACCTAAGCCCAGGTCCCTTTCAAACTAAGACATTTATGTGAAACTTAAAATAATTCCAGATATAAAGTAAAGTAAAAGGCTAAGTAAAAGGTAAAGTTCTAAAGATTGGCAAATAACAATATAAGAAGCTTCAAGGGATAAGATTATAGATTTGACACATGGCAATGATGTTTTTCTGCCTGACACGGAGCAGACTTACCGAAGCTGCTGTCTAATCCGATTCAAAGTCAAGAGAGAACTCTTTCTGCAAGTACGACGGGGAGTAGAGGTAGCTTCATTCTGAGATTCTTGTTGTTTTGTACCCCTGCAAGATATCACAGTGAGGTTACAGGAAGGAGTTTCGAACACCAGGAAACCACGGCAGATACTCGAAGGTAGTTAGGTGGCTTGAATTGCTCTGATTCTTTTTATAGCTACTTTAGAAAGAGCCAATCACACTTTGCTAAAAATTTTACAATCGAAGTTTGACTCAAACTGAGAAAACAAAGTTTGCCTAAAACTTATTATTTAAATCAGACTCACCATCTCTCCAGCTTAGACACCAGGATATACTAATCCCAGGCAAAGGTTCTTTTCTTTTTGTTTCTGACGTATTTACAAACGTGCTATACACCCAGGCTCAAGGCCGAGTAGAAACGCAGCTATATAGTCAACACAAAGCACTTACTGAGCAATTGATAACCAGCCAGGTGCTGAAGTTTGTAGACAGCAAACACTAAAATGTGTAATTTCTGGCTTGTCACATTTTACATGTATAGCCCATTATCTACAAACATCATCTAGTGCCAAATTGCAAAGTTTATTCTAGGTGCATTATCTTGTACTGTATGTATTTGAGAATAGTTTCCAGTTTAAAAAAAAAAAAACTGACTTAAAAAACAATTGTTAAAATGTGGCAAAGAGCCATGGCAACTAATGAAATCCTGAACTGCAAAGCAACATGTGCTTGGTAAATTATCTTCTAGAGCAGTGATTCCCCAAATGACACTTGGGTATGTCAGAATCATCCTAAGAGAATTTCAAAATACAGACTCCTGCGCCCAATGCTTGGAGCATGACTCACTATGTTTGGGAAGAAGCCTAGAAATCTGTATTTTGGAAAAGCTCTTCAGGGATTCTACAACATAGGTTTTCCACCTACTGTTCTAATTGTTTTGACATTTAACATTCTGTGAAGGATTCCGATGTGCTCCGTGGGTAATGTCTCTGGTCACCTCTTTTTGATTACTGGCTTCAGGATGATGGAAGGCACCTCTGAGGATCTCCATCCCCCGCTGACAGGGTTAAGTGTTGTGTCCCCACTAACTTCTGTGGTTTCCAAAGCTGAGATTCGGGTTCTCAGGATCATGTGATGTTCGGGTAAGGCCTTCTTGTCATCTTTAGTACCAAAGAGTCGAATCTTTCCACTTTTCTCTGGGGCTTTCCGAACTGGAGATAAGGTTTGAAGTTTATCAGGCTGGGACCTCTTAGAAGGTGAAGTGATCTCAGAGAGGGCCATTTTCCGTTTACTCACTCCCAGAGAACCTGAGGAGGCACATGAAGTCTGCTGCGACATCCTCGTGTTAGGTGTCCTAGGGAAACCTAAGCCCAAGAGAAATCACAAAGACAATGGATCCATTTTTTACTTAGCAATAACCCCCTAACCCCACTATAGCCAAATTCATGCACTGAATTATACCAAGAAACGAAGCATCCATAGTTTAAACTATCCCATGTTTTCTTTTTCCAGGCTAGGTGGCTCTAATCATTTTTCATCTCTCTCCTAAATTTGATCAGTGACTTTCGTAGTTAGAACCATAAGTCATCTTGTATGTCAGTTTTTGCGGATATTTGGCAATTAGTTTTCCTTGAAATAATCTACCAGAGTAGTGGTCCTCAACAACCCAGGGTGATACTACATACCCTCCACCCTAACTCAAAAGTATTTGAAGAAATTTATAATAATGATGTTATCAAGTAACATGACCTAGATCTTTCTTAACCCAGATTATATCAGCTAATAGAGAGAAGAGGGATTCCTGGAGGCAATTTCTGGGTTCTATGAATACACAAAACTGTGTGGATTTGCTCTTCCCTCACTAGTATCACAGGTACCAAGGACCCCAGCCTTTCACTCATAGATATCAACTGAGCTGTTAAAATGGCAAGGCGTGTGCCAGGCACTTAAAGGAGACCAAAGTAGAATGGAGGCAGGTGGATTGCTTGAGACCAGCCTGATCAACAGTGAGATCCCTTCTCTACTAAAAATAGAAAAACTGAGGCAAGAGGTTCACTTGAGCCCAGGAGCTAGAGGTTGCTGTGAGCTATAATGACTCTCACAGCATTCTACCTAGGGCGATAGCTTGAGACTACCTCCAAAAAAACCAAAAAAAAAAAAGGAGAATGAAATTTAATCCTGGTTCCCACATACAGACACTCTTGTTTAACAGGAGAGATGACAAACATGAGTGTGTTTTTTGTTTGTTTTGTTTTGTTTCTGAGACAGAGTCTCACTTTTTGGCCCTGGTAAAGTACCGTGGCGTCACAGCTCACAGCAACCTCATACTCTTGGGCCCAAGTGATTCTCTTGTCTCAGCCTCCCAAGTAGCTGGGATAATAAGTGGCGGCCACAATGCCCAGCTATTTTTAGAGGAAGGGTCTCACTCTTGCTCAGGCTGGTCTCCAACTTGTGAGCTCAAGCAATCAACCTGTTTTGGCCTCCCGGAGTGCTGAGATTACAGGTGTGAGCCTCCATGCCCAGCCCCCCACAAGAGTATTTTTAATACAAAGTAAAATCATTGCCCTAAAGCACCTAAGCGCTAATGAAGATATATTGAGACAGACCTTGAAAGAAAGGTAAAATCTGAACAGAGTTGAAGGAGGAGAGGGGACATGTGAGGAGATAAAGGAGAGGCAGAGCTCACTTTAGCCTCAGCACGTGGTATGTGGGGAACAGCTGCTATTAAGGCTAGAAGAGTTACCTAGTGCTGTGTGTGAATTGTTACAGAGGCTCTATTCATAATCACCCCAAACTGGAAACAAGCATATCCTTAAACTGGGAACCTACAGAATGGTAAATTCACACAAGGGAATACTACTCAGCAATAAAAAAGGAACACATTACCAGTGTATGTGACAACATGGATGACTCTCATATAACAAGCATTGGCAAGGATATGGAGAAATTAAGAGTTCTTGTGCACTGCTGCTGGGAAGGCAAAATGATGCAGCTAGTATGCAAAGCAGTCAGTCTAGCAAGTCCCTAAAAATTAAAATAGAATTATCATGCAATTCAATTTATGAGCGTGTATTCAAAAGAAATAGAAGCAGAATCTCCAAGAGATGTTTGTTGCACCTCCGTTCATAGCAGCATTATTTGCAATAACCAAAAGCATCCGTGAACAGAAAAACAGACACACAAAATGTGACAGACGCATAGGATGGAATATGCAGCCTTAAAAAAGAAGGAAATTCTGATAGACGCTACAATATGGATGAACTTTGAGGACATGGTAAATGGAATAACCCAGTCACCAAAGGACAAATACGGAATGATTCCACTTATATGAATTACCTAGAGTAGTCAAATTCTTCTAGAATGGTAGTTTCCAGAGGCTGGGGAAAGAGGGGAATAGGGAATAATTATAAGATTTGGAAGATGATAGTGATGGCTGCATAATGATGTGAATGTACTTAATGTCAAACTGAAAATGATAAAGTTTAAGTTATGTGTATTTCAACTTATGTCTAATCAGGACTGGGCCCACTGCTGCACTATAACTCAACGCTGTCATGTGAATTAATATTTTGGTCACTGGTTTTTAACCCCAATAATGTGAACTGTGACCCATTCCACACTTACTGCCCAGCTCCAGCCTCTTCCGTGCCCTTGGGGTGACAGGATGGGTGGGAGTTTGCCGAGACTTGGCGGCGGAGTGCTTTGATTCAATCCTGGTGACCACACGTTCTGCTGGGGTGCAAGAAGGACTTTCTAGGCAATGAGGCTTGGTTCTCACACGCTTCTGGCACTTGGAGCTCCCTTCCGGTAGTTTTCCCAACTCCGCAAATAGTTTCGGGGAGAGTGGCCTGAATTTCTCTTTATTCCAGGATAGTTTCACAAAGAATATCTTCTCATTTTCCAGATCTGTAGGTACCACTTCATCTGGGGCTAAAGCTACTACCTGAATTTAGAAAGTTTAGGCAAATAAATAGGAGATGAGGCCCAAAGAACCAAGGACTATTACATCAGAGCTGTGATGAAAAACCATTTCAGACGACATCTGTACCGGGAACGTTACTTTTCCAACTAATGAGACACACACATGACATAGCATATTGACAGAAAAACACACAATAGTTACCATTTACTGAGTACTTGTTAATTTAATCATCAACGGCTTTAAAGACATTAGATTATTTGTTTCATTTTTTTAACTTATTGGCTGGCTTCGCCTCTTGACTCCTATTACTCTAGTTCAAGCACACATCATCTCGCTCCTAGATTATGCCCACCGACTCCTCCTTGCTGACATTCACATCCTACGTAACTTTCCTTGCCAGCTCATTTTACTCACCAATGTCAAATTTTCCCATAAATGTTTCTTCTAAACATGTTCCCCCTCACGCTATAGTCACTATGGCCTCCACCGTAGCAAGTTCAAATTACTTATACAAGTTTTTCAATGCCTTCTAAAATTCGGCCCCGTTTTTCCTACAAAGGGCTCAGTACTCCTCAAATGGCCCTGACATGGTCCTGCTCATTCCCTCTATCCTGCTCCTACCTAGCAGACACCCTTCCACGTCCTGTTCCTTTAACTTTTGCACCTGCCTTTCACTCCTTCAGTCATTTAACTCAGAGAGAAATTACTATAGTCTCACTAGACCAAAGTCTCTCTGCCCTACCATTAAACCAATCATCTAATCACCACACAACCACATTTCACATCACAATCTAGTCCCATTTGGGGGGCCTGAAGTAGTTCTACATATTTAGTTGGTGAACCTGTGTCTCTCACTTTAGCCTGTAAACCAGCAGCTTATTAATACCTGACCTTTTTTTTTCTTTTGGCAGTTTTTGGCCAGGGCTGGGTTTGAACCCACCACCTCCGGCATATGGGCCAGCACCCTACTCCTTTGAGCCACAGGCACTGCACAATACCTGACTTATTATAAAATGGCATAACACAAATTTGCCTGTACAAATTAGCACTCTTTGTACCGATTTACTCAAGGGGAAGCCATCATTTAAGCCAGCACATTCAGCCTCACAATGCTTCATGCCTGCCATAACCACAACTAAATATAAGTTCTCACTGAGATACATTTACTAATTCCTGCTCATCTTTCAGGTTAACAATCTTCATGCCACTTCCTGCAGGAGGCTCCTAACACAGGGTTTGTGCTCTCAAGAAATATTTGTGAAGGCTCGGCACCTATAGCTCAGCTGCTAGGGCACCAGCTATATATATATATGTATATATATATAGGGGCTGGCAGGATCAAACCCAGCCTGGACCTGCTAAACAATGACAACTACAACAACAACAACAAAAAAAAA